CATGATTATTCTTCATTGAATACCTTTCAAGAGGATTATGATTTTCACTAGTCAAATCAATTTTGACGTTACAAACAACTACATCCTCCTCTTTTAGAGTAACTCCACCACTCTTCTGCCAGATACATATATAAAACAAAATGGAATTCCTCCTTGAAGAGAAAGAATCAAAATTATATGCAATTTGCAAATGAGAAGGTTTAATCGGATTGAAGACCCGAGAGCAAACAATATCTTGAGGGGTGACCTTCTTAAAATTGTCTAGCATACCCTTGGGTACTGGGTACTCATTACAAAACTGCAAAACAAAATTCTTCCTCGGGTTCAACAAGACTATATAATTATAATTATAATTTAATAAATACATACAAACATTTTAGGCCAATGTAATGTAAATTTAGAAACATCCACACAATAGTTAGCATTGAATTTGTGACAAACGACTTGAGAAGATACGATGACGTAATAGGTAATTGCAGCAGGTAATTGACAACAATCAAAGAAAACCAACAGAGTTAAAAACATGCCTGGTACAAATTCCTCCTTCGAATGCGCAGGATGAACTCCCTGGCCTCCTTTAGTTCTTGACTTGTACTTGTCTCAATAGTTTTAACTATTGTGTCATCCAGATTGCATTTTTAAAGTAAATTACGTTTTATGATTCAAAAGAGCTTTGTAAAAATGCTTTTAATTTTGTAAGAAGCCCCGATAACCTTCCAAGATCGGAGAAGGATTATTTATATGAAATTTCGAAATAACTATTAGCATGAACAAGTGCATCGACCATCATAAGCTCCATTGCCTGGAAACATCAAGATGGGATTAGAAACTATAAAAACCAAGAATGGTAAGTTCATGGGTATTAAGTAGACGAGTAAGGAAAAAAAGGCGGTATCTACATCGACCTAAAATTCAATAATCTTCTTAACAATGAACATACTTCATACCTTCACTTTTGGATGTGTATAAACTGTTCTATACGAGATAAGCACAAGTGACAAACATTTTGTGGATGGTAAGGTCTAGTAAATTACGCAGCCAACATGAAAACTACATATTCGAGAAAAAAACTAAACTAGAAATAACAAGTATAAGACCCGTAATCAAACCGAAGTCGATTCAACCAATAGAGGTAGTCGGTTTGACAATTCATACAAAAATAAACCGGACCCACACACAATTCATCCTTAACCAAGGAGAACAATCCACAGTAAAAAGGCATAAAAGAAATAGAACATAGCAGCAGAAATGTGAACCGAAGGGCTTGACCCGCGACCCCTCTGACTCACCTCTAGTGCGCGGCTGGTTCAATAGTGGAGGTTAGGTTGAGATTTAGGGATGGCCACGATGGTGGCCAGGGAGGCGGTGGTGATGACTAGGGTTTGGTGGAGGTTGGATTAGGGTGAGGGCTGACTTGGGGGGAGCAGTGAGGGGGCTAGGGCTCGCCGGGAGTGAGGAGAAGATACTGGTCGTGGGATTTGCAAGGTTAAGAGGAATGGGTGAGTGAGGCGCGAGAGTTAGGGTTATTTGGGGATAAGTGGCGCGACTGGGATGTATATGTAAATGAAAAATGTGGTTGTATATGATAGCGGTTCCACTGGAACCGCTCTTAAAGTTAACATCTAATAGCGGTTAAACCTTCACCGCTATTATATATTTTCAAATATGATCGATCATTTGAAAATGTAATCGATCATAATAAAAAAATGTGGTTGTATATGATAGCGGTTTCACTTGAACCGCTCTTAAAAGTGAACATCTAAGTGGCGTCGCTCGAGCGATGTTATTTTCGCTTGAGCGAATGTTGACCTGCGTAACCGTCGATCAAAGTTAGCCGGATAATGTAACATGGGTGACCTCATGTTTGAATCGGATGTCGCTCGAGCGAGTATAGTGCCGCTCAAGCGAAATACAACCCGAGACTTCACAATCTTAGCAGTTGGCGTCGCTCGAACGATGTGAAATTCGCTTGAGCGATATTGCAAAAATCAGATAAAATGATCGATTATGATCGATCATTTCAAAATATAATCGATCATAATGAAAACTTACATTAACTATTTTTTTGAATATTATGTTTTTAAATTTGCTATTAGAGAAAACCTTTCAGAATTCAAAATGTTAAATACTTTTAAATATTAAAATTAACATTATCAAAAATTAGGAAAAAAAATTAATCCAAAAGAGTTCAAAAATGTATTATAATATTGTCAATTTTGAGTTTAATTATATTGTTCATTCTCAAAGTAGAAAAATATATTGTAATTATTTTAATTTAATAAAATATAATTTAAATTTTTAATACTAAAATTAAAAGATTAAATAATAATAAATTTATTTCTTTAAATTGAGTATTTAGAAACTAAAATTATATTTTCTCTGTTTTAAAAAATTAAAATAAATATTTAAAAATAAAAATCAAAACTAGTATTATCTTAAATTTATTAACAGTGTAATTAAATCTCTATTTTCTTAATTTTTTTTTGTTTTAAACTTCTCAATTCTACATTTTTGTAAGTTCTATCATTATATTATCATCATCATCTCCTCTCATGTTCTACTTTATCTTTACAATAGTTAATATTCTTAAATAATTTATATTTTTAATTATAATTTTTTAATATATATTTCAGAAATTAATCAATTATAATCTATTATTTGAAAAACTAATCAATTCTAATCAATAATTTAGAAAACTAATCGATTATAATTAATTATTTGAAAAAATTATCAAATATGATCGATCATTTGAAAATCTAATCGATCAGAATAAAAAAATGTGGTTGTATATGATAGCGGTTCCACTCGAACCGCTCTTAAAAGTGCACTTCTAATAGCGGTTAAACCTTAACCGCTATCTAAAATATATTTTAGATAGCGGTTAACGTGGAACCACTATTATATCGTTTCAATTATGATCGATCATTTCAAAATATAATCGATCATAATGAAAACTTACATTAACTATTTTTTTGAATATTATGTTTTTAAATTTGCTATTAGAGAAAACCTTTCGAATTCAAAATGTTAAATACTTTTAAATATTAAAATTAACTTTATCAAAAATTAGGAAAAAAAATTAATCCAAAAAAGTTCAAAAATGTATTATAATATTGTCAATTTTGAGTTTAATTATATTGTTCATTCTCAAAGTAGAAAAATATATTGTAATTATTTTAATTTAATAAAATATAATTTAAATTTTTAATACTAAAATTAAAAGATTAAATAATAATAAATTTATTTCTTTAAATTGAGTATTTAGAAACTAAAATTATAGTTTCTCTGTTTTAAAAAATTGAAATAAATATTTAAAAATAAAAATCAACTAGTATTATCTTAAATTTATTAACAAGTGTAATTAAATCTCTATTTTCTTAATTTTTTTTTGTTTTAAACTTCTCAATTCTACATTTTTGCAAGTTCTATCATTATATTATCATCCTCATCTCCTCCCATGTTCTACTTTATCTTTACAATAGTTAATATTCTTAAATAATTTATATTTTTAATTATAATTTTTTAATATATATTTTGAAATTAATCAATTATAATCTATTATTTGAAAAACTAATCAATTCTAATCAATAATTTAGAAAACTAATCGATTATAATTAATTATTTGAAAAAATTATCAAATATGATCGATCATTTGAAAATCTAATCGATCAGAATCAAAAAATGTGGTTAGTATATGATAGCGGTTCACTTGGAACCGCTATTATATGTTCACTTTTAAGAGCGATGTAAATATTAACCGCTCTTAAAAGTGACAAATATTTTATTTATTTATTGACACATTTTTACATCAGATATCGCTCGAGCGAGACCAGTGTCGCTCAAGCGAAATACAACCCGAGAATGCCAATTTTGTGCAGGTGGCGTCGCTCGAGCGATGTTACTTTCGCTTGAGCGAATGTTGACCTGCGTAAACGTCGTTCAAAGTTAGCCGGATAATGTAACATGGGTGACCTAATGTTTGAATCGGATGTCGCTCGAGCGAGAATAGTGTCGCTCAAGCGAAATACAACCCGAGAATGCCAATTTTGTGCAGGTGGCGTCGCTCGAGCGATGTTATTTTCGCTTGAGCGATATTGCAAAAATCAGATAAAATCATCGATTATTTTCTCATTAGCGACCACTTTTAATTCGGTCACTATTTCAATTTGTAATTCGGTCGCTAAATCAGTCGCTAAATGATTTTTTTATTTATGTATGAAATAGCCACCGATTTAGTGACTGAAATTTTGCGACGCAAAATATTGGTCGCTATTTCGGTCGCTAAATAATAAAGTGAAAACCAAATCATATTTTGGTCGCTAAATCGGTCGCTAATTGCGACCAAATTAAAGTGGTCGCTAAATCGATCGCTAATTGCGACGGAATTAAAGTGGTCACTAAATCGGTCTCTAATTGCGACCAAAATTAAATCGGTCGCTAATTGCGATCGAAAAAATTTGGTCGCTAATTTCGGTGGCTAAATGTGTTTTTTCTTGTAGTGAGAGTTGACATTAGTCATTGGTTGAATTGGTATGAAATATAGTAGGACTTTTTGAAGGTGATTGAATTGTATCTACACCTAATAGATGATCGAACGTAGTTTTGATACCACTGTTAGTATTTTAGGAATAACAGGAAAGATGGTTTGATGTTTAGTAGTGAGATTTGTGTAGAAAATAATTTTTAGAAAAAGATGGACAAATAGGAAAAAATTTATATGAGGGAAAATAGTAATTGATCTTAGAAGTGTTATACTTCAAGTGAGGGGGTCACCACCTATATATAGGTATGAGACACTCCTCTCTAAAATCTTCTAAGAACTTAGAAATGATTCCTCCTACATTACACTTTAATTTATAATTTTATATTTTTCTAATAATTCTAGAGGTTACTTAGATAAAGTTTACAATTTAATAATCTCTAAAACTTAGGAAGTTTCTAGAATTTACATCACTTTTGAACACTATCTATCTAATAAATTTGTATGCATTGAAACTAACCTTGTGATATGAAACTCCAGGCTGAAGACCAGAGACCACAAAAGGAAGTATCCTCTTTAAAAGATCATCTTTTAAAGTAAGAACAGTACCCAAAACCTCAACAAAAAACAGCCGTACAAAAGCCAATTACATGCGTTGAAGGTTGAGACTTTTTAGATGGAGATGCCTGTAACCAAATGATTTGGTATCTAATTATTTGATTCCACTGATCCACTTCTACATTCACAACTAAATCAAAACAATTACTTACATAGTTGCACAGAGCATCTAATATGTCCTTGTTTATATAAATTTATATTCTTATTTTTCATGATATAGGCTGATGTTCGTCGTGCTACACTGCTTGACTTAGATTAACCAAAGTGTTTGGTTCAGAGGTATATAAGAAGAGTGACCCTTGGAAATTGAATTCCACATGAATCTATTATGTAATTACGGAACTTAAACGTTTCATATGTCTTTATTATTGTATAAATAAATCTTTGTAAATAGAAAATGTTGCTCGCTTTGCCGTTGACCAATACAATAAAAAAGAGGTTGTTTTATTTGTCTTCCTTTTCTCCATTTCAGTAGTGAACTATTATTATTCCACGATTGATTTTCGGTAAGTGATTTTCTTAATGACACATAATACAAATTTATATTCTTATTTTTCATATATTCTTATTATCATAAATTTATATACACAGATTTGTATTCTGTGTCATTAATAAAATCACGTACCGAAATCAATCGTGGAATAATAATAGTTCACTACTGAAATGGAGAAAAGGAAGACAAATAAAACAAAACCTCTTTTTTATTGTATTGGTCAACGGCAAAGCGAGCAACATTTTCTATTTCGATGCTACCAGGAGGAACATGGAAAATTTGACCTGTTTCGGTTACTGTTGTACCATTATCGAGGAGGGCGTAGAATTCTAACAAATGCTTGGCGCTCAAGAATTCCCACACTTTGGTTACATACACGTTTTTACTGTCACCATCCTTTGCTTCCAAGGTTATGAAGTAGTTGAATCCTTGCACAACCTGTTTCTTTGCATGGATCGCCCTCACAAACACCAGATTTGCATTCTGTATCATTCAAAAATCACCTACCAAAAATCAATCATGGAATAATAATTCACTACTGAAATGAAGAAAAGAGAGAAGAATAAAAGAAACCTCATCTTTGTTGTATTGATCAACAGCAAAGCGAGCAACATTTTCTATTTCGATGCTGTCGGGAGGAACATCGAAAATTTGACCGGTTTCAGTGTTTGTTGTACAACAACGGGGTTGAATTCCAGCACCTGCTTGATGTTGGTGAATACCCACACTTTGGTTTCATACACGAATAGGAGTCCACCCCTTCTTGCTTCCAAAGTGATAAAGTAGTTTATCCCTTTGACGACCTGTTGCTTTGCACTGATCACCCTCAGATATTGCAGAGTATCGTTCTGTGTTTCCAACTCCAATGTATTCATTACATGTAAAACAGACTCAAGAGTATATCAAAATGAATTAGACTTAAACTAAGAACCTGTTTTTGGTTGTGGTCTTCAACAGCATAGCGAGCGAGATCTTGAATCTCGACGTTCTCGGAAGCTCCAGGCACATCAGTAATGCCACCCAATATTGCCATTTCTCCTTTCTTTATCTTCTCTTCTTCACTCTCTTTTCTTCGCTGTGTCTTCTCCGCTCTCTCTACTATCCCTTTTTATACCCAAAAATTTACCTATCTTGTGGAATATTTTATCTTTTTTTCGTATTCTTATTCAAAGCATGCTTCGTTATGTCATTAAGAATACTCCATTTTCTCAGTTTTAGGTTGTCTTCTTTTGGATAGAATAAGGAGGAGAATTCACCCAATGTTTAGAACGTGTTTGGATGTTTAGGCCGACGAGATTTTGCATGGTTGTGTGAATAATATATTCTCTTTGTTTTATCACGTTTGATCATTTGTGAAGAATAGTCACCACTCTCGTGAGTCGTTATTAGCTGCGGGGAATATATTCAATGCTCCTTACACTCACCTTTTTACCTTGTCAGAGGCTATGTTAGTTCCTTGGAAGAGAGAAGAAGTTTTCTATATTAATGGAGAAAAGAAAAAATTATTATTAATATTTATATATTTTAAAAATAATAAAAATATAATAGGTAACTAATGAAGAAAAAAAATATATTAAAAAATTGGAGAGAACAAATAAAATAAAATTAAAAAAAAACTAATCATACAAAAAATATTGACCTAATGATACTTTAACATCTATGGTTTCTACTAATCTTAATAATTTTAATATTTATTTTAATAAATAAATAATTTTTAATTATTTCTTACTTTTTTATTTAAATTAAACAATTTTATTTTTTACACATTTTGATCATTTCTTTTCTAATTGATCCCATACTTTGAAACAAAATATTACTCATAGATAGAGATGAAGAGAATAAATAGTACGGCAATGGAAAAATTGTTATGAACAGAAAACAATTCATGTGAAAATACCAACAAGTCCCTAATTAAGGATAGATAATTTAAATATGTGGAAAAGGCAATTTTGAAAAAAAAAAAACAATCATAAAAACTAAAATTAAACTATAAAAACATAATAGTTAATTTTGTAATTAATGGTCATTATTGTACATAATATTAAAGAGCATTAGTAATCTTCTTCCACTAGACATAAAATGAAAAAAAAATTGACTGGATTGAAGCAATTTCCACTAACATGTTGAAGCTTTACAAAATGTATGAAAATATTTGAATATCATGTGATTTAAATTATACTTTATTTTGAAGAAGATAAAGATAACTACATTTTTCGTATATATAAATGATAAGATTGTTATAGGAAATAATTTAGAGGAAAATAAAATATTATAAGAGTATTTATTGAAAAAGTTTGAAATGAATTATTTTAGTCCCTTAAAATATTATCTAGTGATTGAAGTATCTAGATTCAATAAAAAAATTGTCTCACAAAAAATATATCATAGACTTATTATAAGAACCAAATATGTTAGTTTGTCAAGCAATGAATACACTAAGAGATAAATGTTTGAAGTTATCTACTACGTTAAATAAAATATCATTCAATAAACAGATACTCGAAAAGATATTGATATATTTAATATACACAAGACTAGATCTTGCTTATGCATTAATTATTATTAGTTAATTTATGCATAATCTTCAACAACAACCTATGAATGAAGTTATACATATTTTAAAATATTTAAAATTAACAACTAGAAAAAGGATTATTGTATTTACCAAAAATATAAATTATTAACAAATAAATGTATATATTGATATTAATTGACTAAATAATTAAAAGATAAGCAATCGATACCGAACTACTTTATATTTATTGGTAGTAATATATGAAAAAGAAAAAAATCCAAAATGTTGTCTCTCCCTCAAGTACAAATTTAGTAATTTGATTTATTACCGTAATATCTCAAAAAAAAATTTTGAAAGATAAGGTTAACTTATCTTAATGGGTAAGTTTTATCCAAGTCATTAATGATTTTAATGACTTCATTAAGAAAAAAATAAATAAAAAATATGGCTATAAAAAGGGATAGGGGAAGTTGCGGGAGAAAGAGAAAGAAAGGATAAGGGAGAAAGAGAAAGGGAGAAAGAGAAAGGGAGAAGAGAGGAAAGAGAGAGAGAGAGAGAGAGAGAGAGAGAGAGAAAGAAAGAAAGAAACATGAAGGGAGAGGAAGAAAAGGAGAGAAAGATAAATCGTCTTTGCAAAATTTTGGTACCTCATCCGCGAGTTCTTAAGGTAGGGGAGGAGAATATTATTATTAAATCTATTTTATTTTGCTTATAGTTGTGGAGTGAGGTGTCCCTAACCTCATTCTATTTATTTTATTTTATCTCAAGTCTTGCACTGGTCCTATTTTACTTATCTCCAGTTATGTATTGGTCCTGTTTGTTTATTTTATTTTATCTTCAGTCTTGCACTGGTCCTATTTTAATTATCTCCAGTTATGTATTGGTCCTGTTTGTTTACTTTATTTTATCTCTAGTAATGCAGTGATCTTATTTATTAATTTATAGTTATATTATTTAATTATTATTTTTTATAATAATATCTATTTGTGAAGATTTGATGATATTGTAGATGGAGGTTGAACCTTGGGGATTTAAATGAGTAAATATCACCGATAAAGTGATTAAAAAAAATTGGGCTCATTTATCCCGACTAGTCACTACAAATTTAATTTAAATCTTCATAAAATAGAATGTGTTGAAGAAGTTGAAATATATATATATATATATATATATATATATATATATATATATTATAAGATTGTATTATTGTAAATGATAAATGTTCTCACTCCCTATTGTGATCTTTTGTGCATGTTTTATTTAAACACCAACTTAAGTAGATGGAGGCGCCAAATATTCCAAATCCCTTTTCTGCAAGCATCACCGCCTTCTTTCCAGGAACTACTTGGAACATGAATGTTATAGACAACTCACTTACTTTTAGAGGGACAAGATTTTCAATAATAACATTTGTATCTGATATAGGAAATCCCATTATGTTAGATGGACCAGTAGTGGTTACCTTTTGTATGTCTCCTACCTTTTTCCAAAACCCTTTAATCAGTTTGTTTCCACCGGCAATGTAGATACTTGTAAAATTGTAGAAAAAAAAATAGAAGGAATCAAAAATAAAATTCCTTCTTATTTTGTATATCTTATATAGTGATGTAAATTACTTTTACATATATGTAATATTTTTTGACCTCCTATTCTTATACAAATAATAATAAGAAAAAAAATGTCACATTAAATGGTATCGAAGCAACGTTTCATGTGTGACCTGTAAAATGAGTCTATCATGATATCTTATGAATCCTAACTTATATAATTCTAGATGACAAATAATAGAAGGAACAACGAGTTGATGAAGCGGTACAAGTTATCCGATACATGACCACTCGCATTATTAAGGAACCAAAGACCTAAAGGAACCAATGGATCACAAAGTTTAGTTGAATTTAGGAGAAACAAGCCTCCGCAATTTTCTGGAGGATATAACCCAAAAAAAGCTGAATTATGGATTAAAGAATTGGAAAAAATATTTCAAGTTATGAATTGTCCTGATGACCAAAAGGTAAATTATGTTGTGTTTATGTTGATAGGAGAGGCTGAATATTGGTGGGATAGTACCAGGAGATTACTAAAAGGAGGAAGAATAATCATTACTTGGGAAGTGTTTAGAACAAAATTTTTAGAAAAATATTTTCCCAATGATGTGAGAAGAACAAAAGAAATAGAGTTTATGCAATTAAAACAAGAAAGTATGACAGTAGGAGAATATGTTTCTAAGTTTGAAGAGCTAGGAAAATACTCTGCATCATTTTATCACCCTGATGAAAGAATGAAGTGTATAAAATTTGAGAATGGACTTAGGCCCGAATTGAGAAAAGCGGTAGGAATACTAGAAATTTCTGATTTTCCTACGCTTATTCATAAATGCAGCTTTTTGGAAGATTTTGAAAATCATCAAAATAGTAAACCAAAATCTTTTGGACCCCAGCATAATAAAAGGAGACAAAATGAAGAAAAACCTTACAACCGCCCCCATTGGAGATCCCAACCCAATCAATTTTCTGCAGGAAATTTTAATAACCGTATAAATAATCAGCTCAAGTGTTTTAAGTGTGGACAGGATCATTATGCTAAAGATTGTCATCTTAAAGGACCTGTCTGTTTTAAGTGTGGGAAACTTGGTCATATATTCTCTGAATGTCGGCAACAAAAACCAAATTTTGATCCTTCTACACCAAAAAGAAGACCTCCAACAACAGGAAGAGTATATACCATGAATGGAACTGAAGCTTCTCAGAATAATGATTTGATCCAAGGTATGTGTTTCATTAAAGGTAAAACTTTAAATGTACTGTATGACTCAGGCGCAACTCATTCATTTATTTCCAATGATTGTGTCCAACACCTTGAATTGCCGACTTATTTTCTAGATAATAGTTTGATTGTTTCAACTCCCACAAGTAAGTCTGTAATCACCAATAAAATCTGTCTAGATTGTCCTTTGTTCATTAAAAACAAGAAATTCCTTGTAAATTTAATTTGTCTACCTTTATCTCAATTGGATGTAATCCTGGGTATGGAATGATTATCTTCCAATCAAGTCCTTCTAAATTGTGCAGAAAAATCGGTAGTATTTTCAAATTCTGAAAATCTTTTGAGTTTCTCTACCAACTCAGTAAATGAGTCTTTGAAGAACAAAATTCAAGGATATTTGTTACTATCTTCTGTGGAAGTAAAAGAGGAAGTCGATTTGAAAAAAGTAGCAGTTGTTCAAAATTTTCCTGAAGTTTTTCCTGATGATATTCCTGGTTTACCACCCAACAGAGAGATTGAATTTTCAATAGATTTAATGCCTGGAACTGGACCAATTTCTATGGCACCATATAGGATGTCCCCTTCTGAACTGACAGAACTGAAGAAACAATTGGAATAATTACTTGGAAAACAATTCATTCGTCCTAGTGTATCACCTTGGGGAGCCCCTGTTTTATTAGTTAAGAAGAAAGATGACAGCTTTAGGTTGTGCGTAGATTATCGTCAGTTAAATAAATTCACCGTAAAGAATA